CAAAATAACATACAAAATCACCAGAAAAAAAAATAAGAAAATGGCAGTAACAACTCTGTGTAACCAATAATAACCCTAAATATAAAAGGATTCAATGCCTTAATTAAAATATACTAAGAGGAATGGAAATCATTATGTCAAAGGGATACCTGTACCCCAATGTTTATTGCAGCATTACTTATATAACAATTGCACCAGCCCAAAGGTCCATCATCAGATGAGTGGATAAGGAAAATATGGTATGTCTACACAATGAAATGCTACTGTACTATAAAAAGAATGAAATGCTACCATTCGCAGCAACATAGATGGACTTAGAAAAAATTATATTAAGTGAAATAAATTAGGCACAGAAAGAGAAATGCCACATGTTCTCACTTATTTGTGGGAGCTAAAAATCAATCAGTCCATAACTATACAAACAGTGGGCAGGGGTTGTTGGGGAAGAAGACAACAATCAAAATTCCTTGAACTTGTTAAGACAAGTGAACAGGTAATGTTGATGGGGGAGGGGGAAGAGGGAAAAGAGAGGAATTGGTAAAGGAACACAAAAATCGCTACATTGTATATCAATAAATAAAAATAATAAAATAAAATACACAAAGTGGCTGAATGGATTATAAAACAAGAATCCACAATATAACGTGCACAAAAACTTACCTCACCTATAAAGACACACACTGTCAGAATGTGGAGGGACGGAAACAGATATTTTATCAAAATGTAAACCAAAAAAGAGCAGGAGCAGCTATACTTATCTCAGATAATACATACTTTAAGCCTAGGAAACTTAAAAATAGAAAAGATCAGGAAGGTTATTATATAATGATAAAAAGATCAATTCAACAAGAAAGTATATACAGACCCATTTTAGTCCGTTTTGTGTTGCTGTAACAGAAATATCTGAGTCTGGGTAATTTATAAAGGAAAGACGTTTATTCGGCTTATGATTCTGAGACAGCTGCATCTGACACGGGCCTCAGGCTGCTTCTACTCATGGTGGAAAGTGGCAGGCAGCCAGCGGGTACAAGCAGATCACATGGTGACAGGAAGCAAGAGAGAGAGATAAGGCACCAAGGTCTTTTTAAGCAACGAGTTCTTATGGGAACTAATAGAGTGACAACTCACTCATTAATCCCTCCTCCCCCAGGGAGAGCATTAATCCATTTATGAGGGATCCGCTCCCGTGACTCAATCAGTTTCCAACACTGCCACATTGGGGATCAAATTTCCACATGGGTTTTGGAGGGGATCCAAACTCATCAACACATCCAAGCTCCATCATTTTGCCCCTGGCCCCCCAAGATTAATGTCACTCCCACACAAAACATACAATCATTCTATCCCAATAGTCCCAAAAGTCTTAGCTTGTTCCAACACCAACTTAAATGTCCAAAGTCTCCTCTGAGAACAAAAGCAAAAGTCCTTCCAGCTGTGACCCTGAAAACAAAACCAAATTTATCTACTGCCAAGATACAATGGTGGAACAGTCAATGGGTACACATTCCCATTCCAAAAGGGAGGAATA